TGGCTCAGGGAGACCACTACTTGTGCTTCTGACTGAGGGAAGCATCCCAAGTTCTTGAAGTGAACCAAGTACCCTCAAGAGCTACTAGGCTTGTGTTTCCCAGGGTGCGCAGAGCTCGAATCAAGCCCATCCCTGGGTGGTGGCAATGTTACTTCCAGGCTAACAGGTATGCTCCAAGAAGGGGGTCGGCCAAATGTGAGGCGACCCCAGGGAGGCACTCAGAGCCTGGAAGGTGGTCGGGTGCAGTGAGGTGGGTGGCTCAGCGCAGGAGCACCCCCTACTGACCTGCCACAGGCTTACCCCTTTTTCTTCCCTCCCTGAAATTCTGACTGCAGTCAGACAACCTCCAAATATGGGTTCTTTAGATAAGGAGAGGATTGATCTGGGATCTTTATTGGAAGGGAAGAGAGGCTAAAAGCTGGATCCATGTGGGAAAGGCAGGTGCCAAAGTGGGAGTTAATGGGGATTTAGGTGCAGATATCACAAGAAACAATCCAGATTTGCCTCTGAACCAGTAGTCACAAAACTTTCTTGCTGCTTGTGTTTTGGACAACAAAGGTTCCCAAACTTAGCCTTGCCTTTATGTGTAGGCTGAGCAGGTTGCTGTGATTCATATAAAATTTAGGATTTATTCTTTCCTGTCTCTCACCAGACAAAAATTAGAGGTCACAAAAGGAAACCAATAGGCAGTAAGTTTAAAACTCTTTTTCCCCAGTGTGTCATTAAAGGGCGGGGTTCATTGCCCCCAGATTCATAGATTCATAGACACTAGGGCTGGAAGGGACCTCGGAAGATCATCGAGTCCAGCCCCCTGCCCAGGGGCAGGAAGTCAGCTGGGGTCGTAGGATCCCAGAAAGATAAACATCCAAATGTTTCTTGAAGGTGTTCAAAGTAGGTGCTTGAACCGCCTCCTGCGGCAGTCTATCCCAGACCCTGGGAGCTCGGACAGTAAAGTTCTTCCTTATGTCCAGCCTGAAACGGTCATGGAGGCATTTGTGACCATTCAATCTTGTCATCCCTTGGGGCGCTCTGGTGAACAGACGTTCCCCCAGATCCTGGTGAGCACCCCGATAAACCTATAGGTGGCCACCAGCTCACCCCTGAGCCTGTGCTTTTCCAGTCTGAAGAGTCCCATGGCTCTCAGTCTTTCATCGTAAGGTCTGTTCTCCTGACCTCTGATCATGCACGTGGCTCTTCTCTGCACTCTCTCAAGCTTCTCCAAATCCTTTTTGAATTGTGGAGCCCAAACTGGATGCAGTACTCCAGCTGCAGCCTCACCAAGGCCGAGTACAACAGGAGAATGATGTCCTGGGATTTGCTTGAGAAGCATCTATGGATGCAAGCCAGCGTTTTGCTCACTGTGGTGGAAACTGAGAATTTAGCCAGATCCACAAAGCGATTGAACACATTCTTGGAGGAAAGGGGCATCAGTGGCTATTGAGCGTGGGACTGAGGGACACAGCCTCTGAATCAGAATATACTAGACCTTAATTGCTGGGAACTTGAAGTGGGAGAGGAACAATGGGAGAAGACCCTGGTCAGTCCCTGTTTGCTCTCCCTTGCAGCATATACTTTCTGCTGCCCTGTGACACAGGCCTATTTGTTGCTTTAAGAGATTGTGGGCCCAGTGTGACACAGGAGACTGGGCAAGATAGACCTACCATCTGAACCAGTAAATGGCAGATCTTATGTTCTTAAAAGATAAGAAGTCCTCCCTTTTACTTTCCCCAGGACATAAATCCCAACTAATTGATGCCTTCCAAGTCCACAAGAGCTCTGATCCACTCCCTAATGTTTCAAAGAAATGAAGACTTGTAAATAAAACCAATCAGTGAACATCTCTTACAATATTTAGAATAAGCCATCTATAAATATAAGGTATAGGCTGGGGGGAAAGTTGAAGAACTCAGTAAATTCAAGAAGACCTACTACCAGCCTGCGTGCCACCCTCCTCCACCCTCTGAAGTCTTCCAGTCCAATAAAGGTAATGTGTTGGGCATGTTGTACTGTTATAGGTAGACTTTAGGATAACTGTTTGTTTTTGTGTTTTGAGGCACAGGCAATAAAAGGTCAGGCTGTAGACCTCCTGCTTGCCTCATCTCCAGCAGACAATCTCCAAGGTAATTTGGGTAATAAGTGCAAACCCAACCAGATCAAAAGTCCACCAAATTTATTTGATCAGCATGATATAGATGGCATGGGGAGTTCAGGGACCTTTTTATCACGGATCAGCCTGTCCCATTGGAGAGGGAGGAGTTGATCAGTAGAGGGATAGGGACTGATTATGATTTCTGGTGCAAGCGCCAATGGTAGAATTGTGGCCGAAGCTGGCTTAATACCATCATTTCACAATACCATCATTTCACAATTTGAATGCTTTGAAGAACACCCACACATATCTCTCTGGTCACTGCCAGTAAAATAAAGTATTTACTGGAAACCAGCTGATAACCTGTTTTGCCCATTAACTGTTTGCTGTATTTCAGCTTTGTATTTGCAGCTAGAGTGAGTTACTGTCTGTTGGCGGCAAACACAGCACAAATCTTCTTCTGTCTGTTTAGCAATAAGACTCCATACAAATATGGGTACAGATTCTTGCCCCTTAGGTGTGAGAGGTTGGCCAATGGTTAGAGCTTTGAAGATTGAAGGTGCAAATATACACTTAGGCCATGCTAAATCTGTGGCATGTTACTCAGCGTTAAAGCTAGAATGTGCTGAGAGCTATCACATTAAGGGTTAAGACCATTTCTTACCTGCATAGTCTATCTTGCTATTAGAGGGATGGCATGGAGGGACACGGTTGATGATGAAGCAAGTGTCGCTATACTCATGTGTCGGAAGTGTGAGGGCCAGAAAGCCAGCAACTGATAAAATAATCAATGTCAATAAGACCTTGGGCACCTAAAGGAGGGCATTCATGCATGATGTGGTCGGCTGTCTGAGCTTGACCATCACAGCTCTAGCCAGCATCATTGGAGAGGTCACAAGAGTGCATGCTTTCCTTAAACCATCCAACAACCATTCTGAGATAGTTAAGAGCAGTCCAGGCCCTGCAGGGCAGCTGCCATCCTGAGGGGTGGAAGCTGGTGTTGGGGATGAAGTTCTTTAACCACAGTTCTTGTGCAGCCTATTGACTTCTCCACTGGTGGGAGGTCTATGCTGTAGGTGCTGTCTACACCATCTGCAGATTTAATGAGTTTATTGGCCTGAGTGGAGAATGGGTCCTGAGATTGCAGGTGGTAGTTGGTTTTCTGGCTTGCAGCTACTAGGGTGGAGTGCAAAGAGTGGTCCAGATCTTGGGTTTTGAGGCCTAGGGCCAGGGTAGCAGCTTGTCTCTGGATGCCGAGGGTGGGAGTGGAGAGGAATCCTTGAGAGGACTGGTAAGCAGTCAACTGGGGTGATGGATAAGAACTCCTCTGCTGTTAACCTTACCCTGGACCCCTTCCGGATGCTGGCAGTAGGTAAGGGTCTCATCCAACTTGCCTCCTAAATAAGTGATGGTATGACAATGTTCACGTGTTCTATCTTCAATCTTGACTCTGTATATGGAAGTAGTCAGCAAGGGTGTTCATATCTGATGTCAAAGTGGATGTGATGGCTCCCCATTGCTTGCTTGATTTGGTGAAAGCCAGGTCATCAGCATAGCCATACTTCTTGGGTGTCAGGCAAGTCAACAATGTACACGTTGAAAAGCAATGGAGAAAGTCCTGAGCCTTGTGGTATGCCATTCCTAAGATTTCTAGGGTGGCTTTCCTGTCCACCAATGGTCTTGAGAGTGAAGCTGAGGTTCTGAAGCATCGGCATAATAAAGCTAATGATTGTTTTGTCAAGTATCATTCAGAGGAGCTTGTAGTAGAGGCCGTGGAGTCAACAGTATCGTATGCAGCAGTGAGGTCCACCAGGACAGCACTGACCTTCTCCCCAGCCTCAAAGCTCTCTTCAATGTCTTAAATAAAGAGAGTTACCTGCTCCGCTGTTGACCTTCTATATCTAGAACCAGCCTGTTCCTTAGGCTGAAGATCAATTATGGGGTAGACTCAGGCATAAATGAGGCATTCCAGTAGCTTATATGGAGTGCACAAGAGGGAGATTGGTCTATAGCTTTTTGCGTTATCCTTGGGCTTGTTAGGCTTTAGGACCACAACAACTGTGGCCTTTCTCCAAATGTATGGAATCTTGTTACTTTTGAGGCAGTCGGAGATGAACGAATGAAGCCAAGTGATCATCATCTCCCCAGAGTTACAAAGAACTTTAGCCTAGGTCTTGCTGAAGGTGAAGGCAGCCATATTAAAGCCATTCTAGTCTGTCAGGTGATTCACAGTATGTTTCCTGCAGGAGGATGACAGCTGCATTGTGTTCAGTAGCAATCTGACTAACAACAAGCTTAGCTGTGCTGCTTCCTTTGATGTTGAGCTGTAGGATGGTAGACAGAGATTCTTTGCCTACTAGCGGTGTGGGCCCAGAGGCTGTAACCACTCACCCTAAAAGGGCTCTATGCTCAGCATGGGAACTCCACTAGCGGTCCAACAACCTACTTGGCTGGTAGCAATCCAAATGCAGGTGTTGCGATGAAAGTGTGGCATTAGCTTCCCTCTAAGAGCAATTGATGGAGTAGACCACAAGAAGATTGCCACAATCTACCCCTGACTAGGGGAATGGCTAAAAGCCAGGACACCTGGGCTCTCTGGATGGGTTGGGGGCTAGGTGTAGTTCATCCTGGGATGATGAAGGACTGCACATTGCTCCTTTTATTTCCATGGAACAGACTGAAAATAACCTTAACATAAGCTGGGTAACACAGCCTAGAGTTAACCCTTGCCTGAAGTGGCATAACTTTGAGATACTCAGAGGGCACTTAGAATGAGTTAATGAGCAGAAAATCAGCTTCTCTATTTAAGACATAAGGTGGAGGGGAGAAGTACATGTGGTATGTGAGTAAATATGATAGATAAAACCTCCCTCATGATTTGGAATCTCTTATTCCTTTGAAGAATGCAAAACTCTGAGGTTTTCCACACTTTACTGATTAACTGCTCTTATGTTTGCACAAGAGTTTAATTTATATTAGACTCTCTAGATAAATAGATCAGCAAAAGCAGTTTCTTCTTATCTTTCCCCCACCGCCATGGGGAGGTCTGTTCTCAGTCTGGTGGCCGTATTTGCATTCTGGTTCCCAACTATTTCTCAAAGCAAACTGTAAGTACCCTCATAATTATAATGACATGAGAAGATGAATATGGGGTTCAATACTTTCTCTCCACCTTTCATTTTTCTTCCTTCACTGTAGTTGTCTGAAGAGTGGATGTTTGCTTTTGCAGTGCTCCTGTTGCAATCCTTTTGCTGGCTTGTTCTGATTTTCTAGCAATCTTGTGCTTTCTGAAATTGATTTTGGATTGATAGCTTCTTTAAAAAATACTGGAAATGTAAAGCTCCAGAGCTAAATCCTGATAAAGTAACATTGCCCTTGGGCAGAATTCTGCTGTGGCTTATATCAAGATAAATTAGCATGAAAAATCAGCAGATAGCACTAGTTTGGGATAACCCCAGTCATGTTAGACCCTGGCTCAGGGGGAATTACAATATTTATCCCTTTATAATCATCTTGCAAGAGAACAAAGAATTCTAGTTGGATAAAAATCAACTCCCTCCGTAAGGGAAGAGTTAGCTGGAGGCATTTGTTGCTTAGGGCTAGGGACAGACATTCAAAAAGCCTGAGCCTGAATTGATTCAACCTTTGCAGGTTACTCTAACCTGGCTAGGCTATACCAGTTTCCAGCCATACAGACAATCCCTCTGGACTGAGGAAACTCAGGCATATGGCTGCAGTGGCTCAGGTGGGAAGGCAGGGAGCACTAGAGCAGCCCTCCCTGCCCTTCCACAGAGCTAAACTGAGGGGTGCATAGCCATACCCTGGCAGGAGGCTCTGATTGAGGGGGCTGTGAACCCTCACCCTGCCTGCAGTCCCAGGCTTTTCCCCATTCACTGCTCAAGGGGCAGGGGTGTTCCCAGCCTGCAGCCCTGGGCTAGCACTCTGAGGCAAGGAGGGGTGTGCAGTGCATGCATCTGTTGATGATACTGAGCTTTTCACTCTCCCTCCCTGCTTCTATATGAAGTATGAGTTTGAGCCAAATCAGTTAACTCTGATACTACATTCAGCCAGGCTTATCTCAAACTGATTTCAGCCATTTTCAAACTGGTTAATGTCTGTCCCTAGCCTAGGGGACTAGATTGACTTGTGAGTAGTAACATATGGTGGTATTTAGTATAGGCTTTTCTAAACTTCCATTGAGAATGGTTAGCCTATAGGTAGGATAGACATGCATATAATTTGTTGAGTTAAAATCCTCATCTCTACATGGGAGGTGTCTCAGCAAGAAATGTAACTGTATTTAAATACTAAGTCAACTTTTCCCATAGGTGCACACTTATCACTCCCAGTATCTTGAGGGTGGAGAGTGAAGAGAAGGTTGTGGTCGAAGGTCACGGCATCAGCAGTCCAGCCGAGGTTACAATTACCGTCCAAGACTTCCCCGCCAAAAATTATATCCTATACCAGGTCAAAACAACCTTGGATACTAATAATAATATGATGGGCATAGCTGTAATAAAGGTAGGATAAACCTCTGGCTTGTACATCTAAGCAAAGAAACAGTTAAATCAAAGTGCAAGGTCTTTTCTGTTTAGTGTGGCTAGTCCTAAGTATTCAAAAACCATAAACTGGGTCTCAAAAAAAAATCAAACTGAGTGTGGTTTCAAAATGGGATATTTTAATACAAAGCTAAATTTGGTCTTATTTTCTGAGACTTTTGAGTGCATTTGGATCACAAAAGGCACATCTACATGTTGCCCTATGGCAATGTAGCAACACGCTATGTTGCTGTATGGCATACTACGGTGATGTAACAATCAGGTGAGTCTACATGTGATTGCCAGGTACATTACCAGAGCAGCACACTCCCCTGGTATAGCACACTGCTACGGTGATGTAGCCGCAAAATCTAACTGTGCACCACACACACAGAGCAGTAACCACTTGTACTGCGCCATGCTATAGTACTTCCAAAAGGAAGTACTAAATCATAGCAACATGTAGATGTGCCCAAACATAATTTTCTGTGCAGCTTAGTATAAGTGTATAGAGAACTCACTAATTGAGAGGACTGTTGAACTAGACAAGAATGAACTGTCAAATGCCTCAGTAATAATTATCATTAAGCAACCTTTGTGTCTCCCTGATCCTGGACTGCTCTGAGTAACAAACTTTACCCAAAGGGGATGTTTTCATTTTGCATGTTGAAATGACCTGCTGCTTCACCATTTTATTTATCAAAGAGGAATGAAATATGGTGAATTTATCAAAATGGAAAGTTTCCATTGATCTAAAAAACAGTTGTTTTGGGGGGAAAATAATTTAGCTGGAAATTTCCTTTTTTTTTTTTTTAATTTCAGTTCCAAATTGGACCAAAAAAAAGTTTTTAAATGTTATCATTTATTGCAAGAGGCAAGGATTTTTTCTGGTAATCTCTTTTATTGGACCAACTGCATAGGTGGGATAGAGTTAGACAGCTTTTCAAATGTAAGCTGTCTTAATCAGGTTAGTGAAAGCCAACACAGCATAGTAACTTACTGCATTATAATTTTCCTGATACTTCAGTTCTCCCCACACATGAAGGGTGAGAAAGACCTTCCTCCCTTTTGATAGGCCTTCATTTCTCAGTAACTGGCTTCTTGTTCTTTTGCTAATTGTTTGCCTGCTACCCCTAGAAATTTCTCTCCACGTTCATACAACTGGTTTTTTACTATGCAGTTTTTTACTCACTGATCAGACCTGATGAAGAATGGCTTGTATTTGAAAACATATCTAACTTTATGCCCATTATGCAGTTGCTCTAATAAAAGATACCACTCTAAGACAGGGGTAGGCAACCCCCAGCATAGGTGCCAGAGTGTGGCATGCAAAGGCATTGTTTGGCATGAGCACATCAGGGCAGACAGTGGGGAAGAGACTGGGGCTGCACTGCCACAACAAGGAACTTGTCCCTCATGGCTTCCCTGCTGTCCACCCCTGGCACACCAACATTTTCCAAGTCGAGGCTATAGGTGTTTTGGTACTCTGCCCAAAAATGTTGCCAACCCCTGCCCTAAGAAATCGTTGCCTATTGCGTCATTCCTGGACCATCACATCTAGAACATCATTCTAAGAATTAACTTGGAATTACTCTTCTGGCATAAATGTTGATCAGCTCTACTCCTGACTCACTGAGTTATTATCAAGGATATCATCTGGGTTTTCCATTCACCACGGAAAAGCACGGTAAAACCCAGATTTTCTCATTTTAAGGAGAAATATGCGAAAAACAGTGGATTTCCTCTTGCAGCCTGGCAGAGTTCCAGCCTGCAAGGGGCGGGGGGGACGACAGGGAGGAGGGCAGTCATGCAGGGGGCACCATGCACATGTGTGCACATACACATGCACATGGCCGCCAGGCAGCCTCAAGAGCAGTTTCCGCAGGTAAGCCTGGCAGGGTGGGGATTGAAGCCCATAAGGAGGGAGCTGGGCAGGGCTTAGGCTAGAGCTGCTGCCCAGCCTGGGCAGTACGTGGACCTTGGGGCCCAGGGCCAAAATGCGCAGCTGCAGAACCTGGGTGGGGAGTGAGACAGAGCCATGGGCAGCTCATCGGGTGGCAGGGGGCGCCGGCTTCCCATCACTATGTGTGTGCCCAGAGGGAGAAGTGGAGGGCACATGTCCCCCAGATCTGGATGCAGGGCAGGAGCAGGTATGGGCTGCCTGCTGCAGGCTTTTTTTTTTTTTTTTTTTTTGGAAAATTTGTTGTGTCCCAAGAGAAATCAGACAAATCAATTCCCAATCCATATGAATAATTCAAGAACCAGGCTCTACTACTGGCAAACATTCTTCACCCCTGCCTGGGGCTTCGAAGACTTCCAAATCCTTTGGTGGGCATCCTACATGCAGACCCAAGCCTGGAGGCTTGGGGTTTGGATGCCGCTAAGTTTCGCTTGCCCTCAGCTGTATGACTGCAGGAGCAAGCAAAGGATCAGTCTCCCATTTCCATAAAGTCAGCATGTAGCTGAGATCCTCCCACCGGAAGTTGAAGTGGCAGGCTAACTATGAGACTTTTGTAGGGAGTCCTGTCCACAAGCAGATAAGGGTGCAACCCTCCACTACACAGTGTCATTTTAATTGCATTACCTTGGTCAGGATACAACCCAATGCCACATTCATGGTTTTCCCCTACCAGGTGGAAAACCACTTTGGTGGTCATGCTATTTCCCTTGCCAGCCCTGCTGATCTCCCCTTGGGACCTCCACAGCCCAGTGGGCAGGACCCACCATGGCAGAGCAGGGTAAGAAAGCTTAGTGCTGCTGCCAGGAGTCCTAGTGCTGCCATGGCAAGGCACCTGCTGCCCACATGGCAGCAGCAGGGATGGCGATGCAGAGTTGTGCCCCCTGCTGCTGCCGGGCGGGCAGGGGGCACCTAGCCATGGCAGTGTGGGTCTCCTGGCAGCAGCACTGAGCTTCCCCACCCAGCCCTGCTCTGCCCTAGTGCACCGGGCCTCACCTGCTGGGCGACGGAGGCCCCAAGAGAGCACAACAGGCAGGGCATCCAAGCCCTCAATGGGCAGTTTACATCCACCCCCTCCCTGCCCCCCGACAGGCTCCACTTCGGCCATGTCGCCTGTGGAGGAAGAAGAGCTGGGCTCCATGCTTCATGCTACCACAGCTGCTGCCACCTCCCACATGCAGCAGCTCGGGCTTGGGCGCTGCTGTGAGGGCAGAAGGCTGCAGACTTGGGTCCTTGGCCCCATAGTCCTGGCAGCTGGGGGCCCCCTCCAGCAGGGTGAGGAGGGGCAAGGGGCTGTGGGTGGGGAGTGAGGGGCAATGGCATGGGCAGGGCACCAGCATATCAGAGCTGCTCAGCACCACAAAGCAGTTTGGGGGGGATAGCCGCAGCTGGACCTGCGACCTGGTGAGCAAAGGGGGCAGCAGAAGCTCTGATTTTCCATGATAAGAAACCAAGAATCAAACGCCAAAGTTTATAGGTATTTAGAATTTGTTTTATTATAGTGATTGAGGCACTGGTAGGCTTCCAAATTGCTTTAAAATTGTAAATAAATCAATAAAACATTGTGTTCAACTGATATCTATATAATATATAGTGGCATTTCACTTTAATCATGGAAAAATGCAAAATTGGGGGATTTTAATCAGAGAATTTTCAATTTTTGTATCAGAGAAAACCAGGATCCCTGGTTATTATCCTTTTAAGATCCATTTTTGTACCCTGATTTGCACGTGGAATATTAACTGATATTGAGCAGATGTGTGGGTCAAAGGTAAATTTGTGGCACACAAAGCTTTCTCGTGGACATTTGCAACTTTGTGGGAACTGCTAACATGACGTATGCTTCATTTTCACTGTTGCTGCCTTAACATTTTTCTACCGATTGTCTTGATAAGCTGATAACACCCTGCCAAATGATATTTTCATTCAGGTTCCTTCCAAAGATCTAAAGAAAGATCCCAAAGTTAAGCAGTATGTGATTGTCCATGCCAAATTTCCCCAGATGAGCTTAGAGAAGGTGGTTCTGGTCTCATTTCACAGTGGCTACGTCTTCATCCAGACAGATAAAACCATCTACACACCTGGATCTACAGGTGAGGGCCTGCATCTGTGGGGTGGACATAAGCAATATAGATCCCACAAGACCACGGGTTTTGAAAAGGGGGGTTATGAGATTCACATACAACAACATATATTTTTCTCCATTTAAACAGAAACTAGAAACTTTACTCATATGCTAGGCATCTGGCTTCATGTTATTCAGTTTAAAATCAAAGCAAAGCAAGTTTAGATGTACTAAAATGTATGTAAATGTATTGCACTAATTTGCAAGACTATATATAAAGTTTTAAAAACACAACAAGCTAGGCAAGAATAGTGAAAAGCTATTGTTTCATTAGTCTTGTCATCATTATAGTCAAATGTATATCTCTTATTTAGATTCATAAAACAAAATCTACTCTTTTTGGGCATCTTGACAGTGCCCCCAATACTTCATTGTCAGTCACATGAGTTAATCTGACCACACTTGAGTTAAGGTTTTTAGCTAGAGCTATAAAGAGTCTGCAGGACTGTGAAATAGAAGAAAGGTATTACCAAGAATAGCTAAGAGACAGAAAAATAGCAGAAGAAAGGAAAGTTTGAAGAGTGAAACATCAAAACCATTAAAAAAGGAGGAGGGGGGAGGGCATTAACACTTGTGGAGTAACAAGATTAGCAGGAATAAGGAGGATAACAATGGTCCATGAAGTTAATGAACTCTTCAGTGCTGCCTGAATAGAAATTACACTGCTGCTGGCAGGCAGTTGGTTTTAAAATGTAGGTTGAACAAGAATCAAAGGGGAGGCGGGGGTGCAACTGTATCATTCCACCCTCACCCTGGATCTACGCCTGCACAATACTGGTCAGGAAATACCAGGCCATGTTCTGATGAAGCTGAAATGACACAGCTCCAGGCATGAAAGAGCCATCAGTCATCCACATGACTTTTTCTTTCAGTCTACTACCGACTTTTTACAGTGGGCCACAAACTAGAACCAGTGATGAAACCAGTTATCGTTGAACTTGAAGTAAGTCATATTCTTATCGCCATAAAACATTTGGGTGGAGTGGCATAGTATATTTTCTCACATATAACACACCCTGGAATATAATACCTTGTGTTTTGATAGGTGGAATGAACAAAAAGAGGGGGGTTTTCAGAGTTATGGTTGCATAGAGCAGGGACAGAGCTTCACCTTCAGCTCACTCCCTTTGCCTTTCCTGCTTAACTAAAACTGAAACCCTAGCTTCTGCTGAAGACTGGTCTCTGTGGGTAGATCTGTTTTTTAAAAGAGCTAAGGAGTCCCCAGAGCTATTAAATAGGAGGGGACAAATCAGGAGCAGCTAGCAGACAGCAACACTGCTGGTTAGGTGGATTACTAGAATATCAAGACCATTAAAAAGGAGAGAGGGTCATCAACATCTGTGAAGAACCATGAGCCTCAGCTGCGTAGCTTGCAATGCCACAGCTGATTCTGGGCAGAACAGGAATCAAAGCAAGGGGCTTCTATCCCAGTCAGAAGAACATCAGCTTAATACACTCACCCCAATTCTGGAGGGGGGTAATTTTGAGAGAAAGAGTATGTGTTGTATTCAAGAAAATAAGGATGTTCTGCCAACTCGGCTATTTTTAAAAGCCTTGCTGCCTACAGACAAGTATTTTTGTGGGTGATGTCTTTTTGGGATCAACTATAACATTGGGAGAGAGATCGTCAAGCTTTTGGATACCACAGTACCCTTCCTCAGGTCTCCAGGAGAGAGACAGGGTTGAATAGCAGATGGAACAAGGGCTTGTTTAAAATTCCCTGGGTAAATAAAATCAGGACATAGGAGAAATTGTCAGGCAGCCAACAGGCAGGAGAGTCACAGCAGAAACCTGAGACATGGAAGAGCAAGATGGGTCAGGAGAGTCATTATCACTTGTGAAGGGCACAGATTTGGGTGTATTAGGTAGATTATAATGGGCCATGAAGTCATTGTCAGTGTCAAGTCTCTGGTTCTTAGTCACCCATCTCCCTGCCCACCCCATGGAGGGAAGGGGCAGAGCTCACCATTCAGGGACAGAAGCGTAGTGTTGATTCTTTCCAGTCACAGCCACCACATTTGGGATCCCCTTGTGGTCAGCATTCAACCTCTGTGTCTTAATTTGAGGAGCACTGGTACAGGAAGAAGACAGGCAGATGGGATTTGGGCATCTAGACAGGACACACATTTTCTTCCACTGCTTAATGATTTTCCTTACCAGACTCCAGAAGGGATCATTGTGAAGAGGGACACTGTATCCTCAGTCAGTAAATCAGGCATCATCTCCACATCCTACCACTTACCTGAACTTGTCAAGTAAGTCACTTTAAATGCCATTACATATGGATGCACCATAGAACAGCAGGGATCAGGAAGTGAAGCAGGCAACTGGTGGTAGTTCATGTGAATACTTGGGCGCACAACTTAAGAACATATAAGAACATAAGAATGGCCATTTCCGGAGTCAGACCCAAGATCCATCTGACCCAGGCTCCTGTGTTACACAGTGGCACAGACTGTTGCTGAAAGGGAGTGTGAATGGGTCTGACCAGGTGTTTTTCCATTGTTCCTCTCTCACTTGAAACCTACAGCTTTAAGGTCTAGGACAGTAGTTTTCAGTCTGTGGTCTGCAGACCCCCAGGGTTCCATAGACTATGTCCTAGGGGCCCCTAAAAAAATGAGTAAATTAATATTTATTTGCTCCTGGCTGCCTATCAAACCTGACAGGATACAGGGGCAGTAGGGCCAAGCAGAACTGAGCAGTCCAGCCCCGCCCACCCCCAGCCATTTCACTCTCTTCCTGCCCCTGCCCTGCTCCAGGACCACATGGCTCCCAGCTGCATCACTGGACATGGGAGCACGGGGCTGTGCTGGTAAGTGTGTATGTGTGTCTGTGTGTGCAGGCAGGGACAGAGTGTGTGTGTGTGTGTGTGTGTGTTCATAGGGTTAGCCCCAAACACACACCCCACCATACACATGCACCCACACTCCCCCCTGCACTGCCATACATGCAGACCCCCACATCCCCTCATATAGCCCAGCCACCCTCCCCCTCCACACATTCCTCCACACACCCACAGCCCTTCACAAACCTATACGCACCCTCCACAATATACAAAAGTAACACGTCATTTTAATCTATTGTGCAATCACCTCTATGTACACTACACAAACACATGTGAATCAGGACAAAAATATTTTTTGAAATCAAATTAATGAATGCTGTAGATCAAGGGCGGGCAGTTATTTTGGGCAGAGTATTTTGCTTTTTGGAATATAATTTGGTATTTTTCTGGTTCTGAGATGGCAATACCCCTTGCTGAAAGGAGTTCTTCTGGGGGCAAGGGGAGGGACTTTGGGTGGCAAAGGTCAGGGGTTAGGGGTCGGAACTTCTGGTCACAAGATGGCAACCAGGGGGTGGGGCACCTGTCAAGGGGCGGGGCTACCCATGCAGCCCTCAACAGCTTGCCAAAACTCAGTAAGCAACCCTCTGCCCAAAATAATTGCCCGCCACTGTGTTAGGGGCTTCCCTTTCATTCAACTACAGTCAAATCTGCTCATGGCAACCAAACCCCATTCAGATTTTGGTTATTTTAAACCAGATTCTCTGCTGTCTCCCATGGCCCTGAAATGGCTGGGGGGGGAACTATTGGAGTCAGATTCAGCTTGATAAAAGGATAAAATTGCCTGGAGAAGAAAATGGGCTAAAAAGACTTTGTGACATCTGTGTGCTAGGTGCATTCATTCATTCCTCCCTTTCTTTTCCTCTCTAGTCTAGGCACCTGGAAAATCACGGCCCAATATGAAGATTCCTATCATCAGAACTTCAGTGCGCAGTTTGATGTTAAGGAGTATGGTAAGATTTCTAGTGCCATCCCTTGCCAGTCCTTAATCTAGACTCCTAAAAATAGACACTTCAGTCAGTCAGGCACTGGAAATCCCCCATACTGTCCAGTGAAGTCAATGTTCTCTCATTTGCACTCTTTTTGGCACTGGTGAGGCCTCAGCTGGAGTCCTGTATCTAGTGTTGGGCTCCACGCTTCAGGAAAGATGTGGACAGATTGGACACAGTCCAGCAGAAACCAACAAAAATGATTTAGAGGCTTGAGAGGCATAATATATGAGGAAAGCCTGAAAGAACTAGGGTGATTTAGACTGGAGAAGACAAAACTGAGGTGGATTTGATCACAGTCTTCAAATACATGAAGAGTGATTATAGAGAGGACAGAGATGGGCTTTTTTGTGGCTGCTGGAGACAGGACCAGGAGCAATGGCTTCAAGCTGCAGCAGGGGAAATTGGGGTTGGAAATGAGGAGGAACGTTCTGACTCTGAGGGTGGTCGAGCATTGGAACAGGCTGCCTAGAGAGGTAGTGGAGTTGCCATCCCTGGACATGTCCAAGAGCAGGTTGGACAGACACTGGGCTGGGATGGTTTAGTCAGGGTTGATCCCACAGTGAGCAGGGGGATGAATTAGATGACCCTGTAAGATTCCTTCCAATCTGACTTTCCTGTGATCTATTCCCCTCTGCTTTCTCTAGTGTTGCCCCGTTTTGAAGTCACACTGGAGCCATCAGAGAAGTTTTTTTACATTGATGGCAATGACGATCTCAGGGTTGATATTTGTGCAAGGTAGGTGTGCAAGTAATAAAGCAGATCAGTCCATTGGCTTAGCCCTACCAGGATCATAACCAAGACTTGAAAAGTGAATGAAGAAAGACCCCAGCCAGGGTAAAAACCACAGTTGTTCAACAAGTCCATGGATGTAGAGTCCTGGCATCTCCAACCCTGCTTAATTATCTTTCCTGGAGTCAGTCTGAAGATGTAGCATCACCCCAGCGTGTACATCACCCCAGCGTGAGTAGCAACTTTTGTGCAGACTCTGCCTTTTGTCCAATTATGGAGACTCCATCCTTAGAAATTTTCAAGAGCAGATTGAATATAGACACTAAGCTAGGTTGCTTTAGCCAGGGCATGGGCAGACCTAGAATTTTGAAACGGGGGTTCACATGGTAAGGTTAATCATTACATACAAAACAACACATATTTTTCTCCAGTTAAAAATAAGCTAGAAGATTTATTAATATGCTAAGGGCCTTGGGCTGTATGGAAGCAAAAAAAAGTAACTTCATTGGAATGAGTTAAGAACAGTCTGCAGGGCTGAGAAATAGGAGCTTCATGACCAGGAGCAGCGAACAGACAGCAGAATTGCAGAGGAAAGGCTAGTCTGATTGGTGGAACATTGAGACCATTAAAAAGGAGAGACAGTCGTTAACACCTGTGGAATGAAGGTTTTAGAAGGAGTCAGGTAGATTATAATGAGCCATGAAGTCAATGGATTCCCCTAGCATGGCCTTACTAGAAATGCTGCTGTCATTGTCGGGCAGTTGGTTTTAAACTTTAGGTGGAACAGGTATCAAAGAGGGGTGCAAGTGCATCAGTTCCCGCACTGCATCCCTCCTGCCCCAGGCTTGACTGCAGCCAATACCCAATGACTCTGAGGAAGGCTGAAAAACACCCTGACACATGGAGTAGAAAGTGAGGGAGGGGGCAACCAGGAAAGCCCAGAAGCCTGGGAAATCCCTGTTGCAGAACACAGACATCGTTACGCCTCCATCATCCCTGACCAGTGTCTGTCCAACCACTCCTTGAATCCCTCCAGTGCTGCAGAGTGCACAGCTCCCCTGAGTGTTTATTCCACCGCCTCACTACTCTGGCAATGAAGAAGTTTCTCCTGATATCCAATCTAAACCTAGTGTGCTGTAACTTACAGTCATTGGTCTACATCCTACTCTTGTGTCCTACATATACATGGTCCACCACTTCTCCAATGTCCTGGCTCAGGGACCAAGTTAGTGAAACTGTTAAATGCCAAAGCCTGGAAGCAGAGCCGAGAAGGATCAGAAGCCAGAAAATTAGGGAGGATGGCTCCAGAGAAGCTGCCCACAGCAGACCTACAGAAGAACAGTTGACTGGCCTGTAGCTTGGTGTCAAAGATAGACTTCAATGAGAAGACCAATCTCTCCAGAAACTAATTGGGAAACCCTAACTGTGGCCGGCTGGTTCATCAGTAGGGATGGGACTGCCAAGTAGAGTCTCTGGCAGCTAGGAAATTAATCTGATTTGAGTTGCCTGTTAGGAGCCCTGACACCCGCTCAATGTTGGCTAGAGCCTGTTTTGTAGCTCCGGAGCCCAGAGGGTGAATGCTGAGGTCACTCACCCTTCCCTTGCAATGAGGGGAATCAGGAGCTCTGAGCAGACCCACCCTAAGAGCTGATCCATGGTAGAACCAAAGCTGGGGGGGGTTGGCCATATCACTGCACCCCCTTTCTATATGTGCCCCTCTCCAGAGGTTGCCTTGTGTCTTGTCTTACTCAGTTTTCCTCCCTCAGATTCCTCTATGGCAAAGATGTGCAGGGCAATGCCTTTGTCCTTTTCGGTGTGGCTGTTGGGGATGAGAAGAAGAGCATCCCCCAGTCTCTGAGGAGAGTGGAGGTAACTCAGGGGAAGGCCCCGTAGACATGGAAACTAAAGAGCGAAAGCAGAGCAGCGATGGCCCTCTGCACCTGAAAGGGTGGGAAACCAGTTACAGGGGCAAAAACTCCAGCACAACCCCATTGCATGAATTGCCCCAGGGACAGACCCAGAGGTGGGGGGCAGTGGCACAGCTGCACCCCCTCTTTGGGACTGGATCCAGCCTGGGAGCCTCTGGGGTCTTAAAAAAACCATGTAAGAACCTCCTTCCTTCCTCTCCATGCGCAGAGGCACATCCAGTTTGCTCCCCTTTCCCCCACCCCTTCTGCCTGACACTGTTGTTTTCTCCACAGTCTAGAAGGTGGAGGGGGGGATTCAGTGCTGCCTGTGCCCTCTCCAGCTGGGCTGTGGGAGGATGGACTCAGCTGGAACCTTTTCTACAAATGTAGAAGCCATCAAGGAGCAGAAGTGGGCTTTTTCCACCTAGCTCCATTTACAAGGGCACTCTTTTGATTCTAGTATTGGACGTTTGCAACAAGTCTCCCACTGCTCTAAAGCAGTTGTGCTCCATCTCCAGTCTGTGGGCTGAATCCAGCCTGCAGAGCCATGTCATCCAGCCCACTGGGTTCCCCGCAGGTCCAAAACTTTGGTGGTGAGGAAGCTGTGGCACCACTAATTGCTATGGCTTCCAAGGTCATGGCAATTAACACTGCCGCTGCTCCTCTGCCATCAAATGTCTGGACCTATGGGGAGTCCCATGGGTTGGATGACATGGTGTGACATACCTGATCTCACTCACTCATGGGGTCACTCTGTGGCTGGATCGAGAGTGCAGGGGCCAGGCTGAATCACACCCATGGACAAACCCTGCACGGCATCCAGCCCACAACTCATTGCACCCAAAGAACTCCCCCCATCATGCCACTCATCCTTGGATCCATAAGGCTGACCCCCTCTGCTCCAAGGCATCAGAAATGCATAAACATTTTAGGGCAGGTAGCTCTCTTACTGCATGTGAGATTATGAAATCCCTTCCATCTTGCTAGATAACTGATGGAAATGGGGAGGCAGTGCTGACCCGTGCCATGCTCCAATCCCGATTTGCCAACCTCACTGAGCTCATCGGCCACTCCATCTACATCAGCGTGACCGTTCTGACATCCACCTAGCTCCATTTACAAGGGCACTCTTTTGATTCTAGTATTGGACGTTTGCAACAAGTCTCCCACTGCTCTAAAGCAGTTGTGCTCCATCTCCAGTCTGTGGGCTGAATCCAGCCTGCAGAGCCATGTCATCCAGCCCACTGGGTTCCCCGCAGGTCCAAAACTTTGGTGGTGAGGAAGCTGTGGCACCACTAATTGCTATGGCTTCCAAGGTCATGGCAATTAACACTGCCGCTGCTCCTCTGCCATCAAATGTCTGGACCTATGGGGAGTCCCATGGGTTGGATGACATGGTGTGACATACCTGATCTCACTCACTCATGGGGTCACTCTGTGGCTGGATCGAGAGTGCAGGGGCCAGGCTGAATCACACCCATGGACAAACCCTGCACGGCATCCAGCCCACAACTCATTGCACCCAAAGAACTCCCCCCATCATGCCACTCATCCTTGGATCCATAAGGCTGACCCCCTCTGCTCCAAGGCATCAGAAATGCATAAACATTTTAGGGCAGGTAGCTCTCTTACTGCATGTGAGATTATGAAATCCCTTCCATCTTGCTAGATAACTGATGGAAATGGGGAGGCAGTGCTGACCCGTGCCATGCTCCAATCCCGATTTGCCAACCTCACTGAGCTCATCGGCCACTCCATCTACATCAGCGTGACCGTTCTGACAGAATCAGGTGAGCAGGGGCTTTACTTTGGAGCAGTGCAAAACCAGACTCTACCTGGGAGGAGAATGCAAAACTAGATCACTATTCCACCTCTTTTTTCTAGATGCAATTCAGTGCATCTCGCCAACTCAGTGAACGGTTGTGGATGCCTAGCTAAAAACAGCAGCTCAGTGCTCAGCAGCCATCAAAAAGGCAAATGAAGTGTGATGGATTATTAAGAAGGGAATTGTGAATAAAACTGGAAGTATCATGATGCCCCTTTATAAATATACGGTGCATCCGCACCTTGAATCCTGTGCCTAGCTCTGGTCTCCGTACTTCCAAAAGGACAGAGAAGAACTAGAGAAGGTCCAGAGAAGGGTAACAAGAATGCTAAATGGTCTGGAGGGGCTTCCATATGAAGAGAAACTAGAGAGGCTAGGCCTATTCAGTTTAGAAAGAGAGGCTTGAGGAGGGACATGAAAAGGGTTTATAAAATGCTAAATGGCAAAGAGAAAGTCAGTAAGGATTTATTATCAACTAACTCTCACCAGACAAGAATGAGGGGTCACAAGATGAAACTAGCAGGCAGGAAGTTTAAAACTAGCAAAGGGAAGTTCTTTTTCCCCCAGTGTGGAATTAAAGGGTGGAACTCGTTGCCACCAGATGTGGTGGAAGCTGAGAGTAGCCAGATTCCCAAAGGAATTGGAGACATTCTTGGAGGAAAGGGGCATCAGTAGCTATTGAACATGGGAGTGAGGGGCATGGCCCCTGAATCAGAGCTTCCTAAATCTTAAATGCTGGAGGCTGCAAGGGAGAGAGGAGCAGTGGGAAAAATCTGAGTCAAACCCAGTTCACTCTCCCTTTCAGCATCTGCTCTCTGTCCCCATGTGACACAGGCCTATTTGACACATAATGGGGCCATGGGTCTTAAACCTGTAGAGCAACAGTTAGCCCCCCTGTTAATATAGGGGGCTATTGGATATGTGTTAATTGATTACTTCAGACAACACAAGAACAAGTCAGAGAGGAACAAAAGTCATAGATTAAAATGAGTGCACTCGGAGGACACCAAGTACAGCACATGGGGCAGTGTCCACTGGCCTTCAAATGAGTCCAAAGAGCCAGTGGACACTGCCCAGTGAAACTCTGCCTGGAGATACGAACGAAGGAGAGGAAAGAGGCCTTGCAGTCCCTGGTGGTCCTCCCAGCCAGAACCTCCTTCCTGGTCAGATAGATCATGAGCTTGGCTAGGTCCAGGAGGAGGTTGACCAGGAGATCCCAAGACTTGGTGGGGTCATGGATGGGAAGTGCATAAATGAAAAGGTGTGAGGAGCAGCGCAGCAGAACTGAGACACAAGATGCTGGACTAGATGGACCTATGGTCTGACCTAGTAAATGAAAATTCTTATGACCATATGAAGCTCCCGAGGGTTCTTTATAGCTCCATAGATGACAATCAACAAGGACAAGTGCAATGTTGCACATGGGACAGAATAATTTCATGCACAAATGCAGCTTGGGGAATGACTGGCTGGCTACAGTACTACAGAAAAGGACCTTGGGGTTGGTCCTTACCAGTTTTCACTGGTTGTAGCTGACATTTTGAAGTTGGATATAAGTGAATAAAATGCCCTAAGTTGAATATGAGCCAACAGTAAAGAAAGCCAACAGTTTCCTGGGTTGCATTAGTAGGAGTGTCTCTTGCAAATCAAGGGAAGCAATTTTTCTGCTCTATACAGCACTGGATGTGGTCTCACCTGGAGTAGTGTGAGGCCTCACCTGGAGTAGTGTGTCCAGTTTGGGGCCCCACACTTCAAGAAAGATGTGGACAGATACAAAAGAGTCCAGCAGAGAATGACAACAATGATTAGGGGCCTGAGAAGCAGGACTGGTGAGGACAATCTGAAAGAATGAGGGTTATTTTGTCTGGAGAAGAGAAGACTGAGAAGGATTTAATCACAGACTTCAAATGCCTGAAGGGCAATGACAGAGGGGATGGAGATGTGCTTTTCTCTGTGGCTGTAGGGGGCAGGACTAGGAGCAATGGCTTCAAGCTGCAGCAGAGGAAATTGAGGTTGGAGGTGAGGAAGAACGATCTGACTCTGGGGGTGGTTGAGCAGGCTATGGAACAGGCTGCTCAGAGAAGTGGTGGAGTGGAGCCTCCATCCTTGGAAATGTCCAAGAGCAGGTGGCCAGACATTTGGCTGGGATAGTTTACTCAGGGCTGACGCTTCCTTGAGCAGCGGTATCTATGAGACACTTCCTGCCATCAGTCATCATAATGAAGATGTGTTCCAGATTGCCATGAAGGCAGGTGAAATCAGAATCCATCCTAACATGAATTTTCTCTCATCCCCTGGCTTTTTTTTTTTTGCAGGCAGTGATATGGTGGAAGCAGAGAAAACTGGAATTTACATTGTTACATCCCCCTATGAGATCCACTTCACAAAAACCTCCAAGTACTTCAAGCCAGGGATGCCCTTCGAACTCATGGTAATATCTGTTCCACCTGGATCTAGACTTTTGTTTTGGAGAGAAAGGGCCGTAGTTCTAATTTCAGACAGACTCATGACACCGAAGTCCATGAAATGACTCAGGATTTATGTTGTAGTGGGACTGGAGTGTTGATATTGGCATGATGGTCCAAGGACATGTTTAACAACAAGGCTATTTTGCAGTGGCTTTTATTGGACCAGCTATGTAGTTGGGAGAGACGCTGGACAGTGTATTGGATATCAGGTGCCCTTCCTCATGTCTGAGAGAGAAGCAGAGGAAGGCTGAGCAAGATATCAGAGGAAAATATCCTTAGTGAGAGGGACCAAGGAGGGCTATGATATAGCAGAGAAGAGTTGTTTTCGGGAACTATTACAAGACAAAAAGAAGTGCAGTAGAATAAGTAGTCTGGTTAGTGGGGCGTGCTAGAAGATGGAGGAAATGGAGAGTCTGGCATTATGAAATCACTCTATCCTCTCCATTTCAGGTCTATGTCACCAACCCCGATGGCTCTCCAGCTTCACGTGTCCCCGTGAAGATCAGGGGCTCTGATGACCTGCGACTGACTCAGGGAGACGGGACAGCCAAGCTGATTAAGAATACAGCTGGAGACAGCTCCCAGCTGCCTATCACTGTGAGTAGCATGATCCTATCACAAGACCCTGGGGACTGTGGAAACCCTCCATGGGCAGCATCTTCTGGGTGACGTTCCTTTGGGAACTGCGCCATTGTACAAAGCATTGAAGGAAGTGATGGGGAATGGGCAAATAAGCCAATGACTGGATGGATCTTGATGGAGATTGTATTATCTTCTTATTTCCAGGATGGACAAAACAATCATAGGAAATTTGGGCTAAAGGAGACCTCACAAGGTCATCTAGTTTGGCACCTTGATCCAGGCAAGGCTGTCCCTGACTAAACTATCCAAGTCAAGTGTCTGTCCAGCCTACCATTGGACATTTCCAAGGATGGAGACTCCACCACTTCTCTAATCAACCTGTTCCAATGCTTGCCCCGCCCCCTCTCAGAGTCAGGAAGTTCCTCCTTATCTCCATCCCCTCTATCATCACCCTTCAGGGATTCAAAGACTGTTATCAAACCCCCTCAGTGTTATCTTTTCTAATTTAAACATCTGTCAACCTTTCATAAGTTTTCCTTTCCAGGCCCCAAATCATTTTTGTTACACTCTGTCAGACTCTTTCACATCTGTCCCCATCTTTCTTGAAGTGTGGGGCCCACAACTGGCCACAGGGCTCCAAATGAGGCCTCACCAGCACCGAATGGAGCAAAAGAATCACTTCCCTTAATGTGGTTCAGTATGGGGAAAGATTTCTCCCTTACAATCTATGCTACAGTGGTTCCCTCTCCTGTCTCCAGAACCTTCCCCTAGCTCTGAACTCATTTGACTCTGTTGAGCCCAAAATGGTTCTAAAAGAGAGACAATGACAGCTAGTGCTTGTACCTCAGCAGACACAGGTTTAATTCCTAGATCTGAGACTAGCAACCAGCTGGGAACCTGCAGGTTGGAACAAGAGTTTTAGGAGGGACAATTTTGAGGGTGAGGCCAAGAAGCTCCATGTGCACAGAAAGAGAATGGAAGTTGTGAACCCAAGGGCACCAGAGGGCTTCAAACAGTGCTCTTAAGAAAGCTCCAGTAGTTACAGGCCCAATGGAGTCCATCTGTTGATGCCCAGAGCTGTGTGCATGAGAGAGACATTAACTTGCTGTTTGATATCACATGAAGCAGTCCCCTTCTCTGTCCTTCAGTTTTGCCAACTTTAAAATTGTCATCATGATACTGACTTACTTTGCACAGTTCTAGGAGATCTGTGAAGGAAAAGCACTGTTTTCTACTAGACATCATTGATTCTCCTTGGCCTTATGAAGATTTAAAGTCTGGGGTCTCTTTCCAGCAAAGTTTTTTGTAAATATGGAGCTCTCGTTTGGTGATCAAGGATTTATACTGTCATCACCATCAGCAATCCCTTGATTCAAGGATGATCTCTACCACACTTGTTGATGGATCTTGAGCTAACTGAAAAGTCCAATCTTTGAACCATAGATCTGTCCACAGAAGTTGTAGGTGTTTCTGCAGGGGTGAGTAGGCTGTAGGCTATTCCTGTCCTTTTCCTTCCTCCACTCCATATTCTCTGCTTCAAGGGCAAGATAGTTTCATAGTTGGTAGGGTCGGAAGGGACCTGCCTCAAAGATGCTTTACCTCAAAAAGAACTGCCATTTATTTGAGGTTGCAACACCATTAGAGTCAGTCAGCAGCCAGCTCCTTCCATCTCTTGATGTCAGCATCCTTTTTCTTGATATATACTTTCCATGTGTCCTTGTAGCATTTCCTCTGGCCACCATGAGATCTCAAGCTGTAACTAAGCTGGGAGTAGAGCGCTTGTTTGGGGAGTTGAGAGTTGGACATCCACACACAATGTCCAGTTCAGGGAAGTTGGTGCTTGAGGATCACCAACTCAATGCTGGTAAGGTTGGCTTCCTAAAGGATGTTGGCATTTGTGCAGCCACCTTCCCAGCTGATGTGGAAGATTTTCTGGAGGGATCATTGGAGATACCTCTCCAAGCTCTTGAGATGACAATAGTAGGTCATTCACCTTTCACTTCCATAGAGGAGAGTTGAGATGATAAATACATTGGATTTATACCAGTGCCACTGAGAATAGACTCTAATCCAGACTGAAGCAAGGAAGTCTTAGCTCATTCCCAGGTTCTAACAGAGTTTAGCTAATGTCATTTCCTTCTTCCCATCCCTCCAGGTACAAACTGCCCATAGAGAGCTCCCAGAAAACCGCCAGGCTTTGAGAGACATGGTGGCACAGGCCTACCAAACCCAGGGAGGGTCTAAAAACTATCTCCACCTGGGGATTGCTAACATTGAGATCAAGACCGGAGACAACTTACTCGTAAACTTCAACTTAAAAACAAACAGTGAGTCTGTCATGAACCAGATCCACTACTTCACCTACCTGGTAAGCGTTCTGTCTTTTGGGTCATGGGTGATTCTTAAATCCAGGCACAGAGGACTTGATTGTAATACTTTCAGGCCCTGTCACACATTACATATATTACATAATTAACTGGTTGATTATGCAATGATGTTAAACCGGCCACACATGCAAACTAATTATCACCCATAAAAATGGCCATCCAGCTATGAAAGAGCCAACCAGCTACAAAAAATAGTGTTTGAAAATGTGTAACAACTCTATACATGGTTTTTATCCAGCTTTAATTTGAACACGTTGTCTGTGTGTGGCATGGAACACACTGTGTGTGGCATGGAACAGCTCAATACCAATGTCATTTCCCCAGTGCTGAATGTAAAACCAATTATAATCTCTCTAGCCATAGGATGCTGCTTTAACTGCTCCAAAATCCTGATCAAGAATTTGGAGAAAAGTCTCGAGATATTGTATGTAAGAAAATGTACTATGCCCCTTTCCCCCAACAAACTGCTGCTGGAAACTGGACTGCATATTATAGGGGAGAAATATGGTAAAAGCAGATTCTGCTGCTTACCAGGGAAAAACCAAAGTAAAGTTAACAGCAGACTACAGGGAGCAAAAAAATGAGCGGCTCAGTTCCCAGCTGCTGCTACTCAGTTACTTACTACCAGGAAAGATCTTATTTCCTTCATTCTGTTTTTCAAAAACAAGGTGGGTATTATATTCCAGGGCATGGTTGCATGCTGGAAAATATGGTATTATCACCCTTGCCTTCTGTGCATTGCAATCAAATGCTGTGTCTGGATTTAAGGTGATGAAGTCTAACCACATGGAATGATGTTCCCAGACCTTTGCTCTGGCCTCAGCAGAGTAGATGGTTGGTCCTTGATGGGTATATCTGAATATCAGACCCCTCACACTGAGAATGCATCCTTCAGTCAGTTTCATCAGCTGGAATTATAGAATTGGAAGGGACCTCAAGGATCACCCAGTCCAGAGGTGCTCAACATCCAGGCCATGGTGCCATGTCATCTGGCCCACTGGGCTCCCCAAGGGTCTGGAAATTTGGCATCAGGAGAGAAGTGGCACCGCTTCCCTGCTGCCAAGCCTTCAGACCCAATCCCAGTACTAGTGCCTAGTTCCAGCACAAGTGGGGGAAGGTGGGAGGACCCCAGGACCCAATTCTGACTCTTGGGATGTGGGAGAGAGTGGCACCATCCCCCCTAAGTCCAAGACCAGAACAGGGGAGGTTGAATGGGGTGGTGCTGGGCCCCTGGGACCCAATCCTGGCATGCCAGGGGGCAGGAGGGGGCAGTGCCAAGCCCTAGGGACCCAATTCCAGTGGGAAGGGCTGATATCAGCCCCCAAGATCCAATCTTAACACAAGGGGTGTGGGATGGGACAGTACTGGCCCCCAGGGCCCAATCCTGGCATGTAGAGGGCAGGAGAGAGCAGTGTCAGGCACCCAAAATCCAATCCTGGCACAAGGAGGCAGAAGGGGCCAGTACCAGACCCCCAGCCCCAATCCTGGCTCTTAGGAGGTAGAAGGGAGTTGTGCTGAGCCCCCAGGGCCTAATCCTGCTGCACAGGGAGCAAGAGGGCCTGAAAGAACAAAAGTTTGAGCACCACTGATTCAATCCAATCCCATTAACAAACACAGGTGGTATGATTTTTAAAGCCATAGTTTTACATGAATATCTGAAATGTTCCTAGTGTCCTCGCCATATCCCTGTGGCAGTCAAGGTTTCCTGCCCTTCACAAGCAATGTCTCACATTGTCCCATCAGATCCTGAACAAAGGCAAGATTGTCCATGCTGGCAGACAGAAGAAAGAGGCTGGACAGGCTTTGGTGACCTTGTCTCTACCAGTCACACCAGACCTCATCCCATCTTTCCGCTTCGTGGCTTACTACCACATCGGGCAGGAGATAGTGGCTGACTCAGTTTGGGTGGATGTTCAAGACACCTGCATAGGAACAGTGGGTTGATGTTCTCAGTCCAGCTACACTAATGCAAACTGACTTTTTCCCTGATTTCCTCTTTGCTTCTGGTAAAGTGTTTGGGGATGGAAAGATAGATAGGTGGATGGAAGGAGGAATGGGGATGAATGGATGGATAGAGGGGGTGTGGGGATAGATAGATAGATAGATAGATAGATAGATAGATTAAAGGGGGTATAGTACTAGATAGAGGAGGTGTAGGGGTGGATGAACAAGCAGAGGGCGGGGTTGTGGGATTCATGGTTTGCAAGGAGGGAAAGATGGATGGATACAAATTAAAACTTTAAAAAAGTATCTTTTGGAATCTATAAGGCCCTTTCTATGAATTTCTCTTAAGAAGCAATGAAATATGCTTTCCATTACTCTTCACCTTTCTCTGTCTCTCTCTCTGTCTTAAACAGTTGGTGGTGAAAGGAGCCACTGAGGCAGACAATAGAATCCACAAACCCGGGTCCTCAATGAAAATAAAAGTGGAAGGAGATGCCGGAGCCCATGTAGGACTGGTAGCTGTGGACAAAGGCGTCTATGTTTTGAACAAGAAGCACAAAATCACCCAAACAAAGGTGGGTCAGAAAAGAGCTCAGGGCACTTCCACTGTGTGGAAGATACTGAGATAAGGCTTTTTTTATACCTGAAAAGAATCTGCGTTGTAGGCATGAGCATTTCTGGATGAAGACATTAGGAGATGCTATCATGATTTCACAGAGCAAAAGTAGCTACAGCCTGAATCATCCTTTGAGGTCCTTCTAGATCAGGGACAACAAAGATCACCTGTCCTGTGGGGCTGGAAATTTGGTGGCAGGAAGAACAGCAAGTTCCATGTTTCTAGAAGCCACAACAATTAATGTTGCTATCACCAAATTCCAGCCCTGGAGGCCAGTGGACCGGCCCTATGCTACAGGTATTGGGGAATCCTGATATCTTGAACCCCTTGGTGCTGCATGTGTTTCTCCATCTAATTCAGTTAGTCTATAAAGGTACTTGTCTATCTTGCACATGAAGTGTTTAGAAGGAATCAGGTTAGATTTTAATGAGCCATGGACTCAATGGATTCCCTTCACTGCTGCCTGTATAGAAGTGCCACTGCCACTGCCAGACAATTGGTTTTAAACTTTAGATGGACTGGGAATCAAAGCAGGAGGTGGGGAAAGTACATCACTGCAACCCCTCCACCTCCCCAGATCTGCCCCCAAAACCTATATATTCTCTGCTATATGTAGCTGCTATTGGCAGGGGCAGATCTTTCTTCTGCATTGCTTCTATCTGTGAGTTGCTCCTGGTCATGTAGCTCCTATCTCCCAGTTCTGCAGACTGTTTTTTAACTCATTCCAATAGTTATATTTGTTTTTGCATCAATCTTGAACTGAATAGTCCAGCCCTAGGCCCCTAGCATGTTAGTAAATCTTCTAGTTTCTTTTTTACCTGGAGAAAAATGTGTTGTGTTACATGGAGTGATACATCTCATTGTGTGCACCCGCATTTTCAAAATCCTACATCTACCCAAATATACCCCCTACCAGGTGATGAGGTCTCAGGTCCCTTGGAGCCCCACATCTATGCCTATGTGCATAGACATCCAGTACTTGGGGGCCCAAGGGTCCTGGCCCTCCTCAGGAAGAGGGTAGGGTGACCACGCATCCCTAATTGGGTAGGACAGTCCCAAAATGGGAACATCAAGTCCTGGTCCCAAGCTGCATGACTCCAGGACAGCATTAGTCCTGGATTCCCAGTATTGTGCAGGGATCTGGGTTTTCCAGTCACAGCAGAAAAACTCGGGAAATAACGGTTTCCCCTTGCAGGCTGGCAGAGTTCCAGCCTGCAAGGGGCTGCAGGGAGTGGGCCACAGGAGGCATCATGAGCACGTGGCCAGGAATACAGCCCCAGGCAGTGGTGGAGAGCAGCTCCGCCAGCTGCCTACAAGGAAGTCTATAGAGGGGAGAACCCCACAGTGAGGGAGGGAGTGGGGCAGGATCTGAGCCTGGGCCTGGCTATTAGTAAGTGTGTCTGATTGCTAATATCCCAAAAAACTGTTGTGTAGCTCAGAGAAACTTTTTGGCTTGTCTTGTACTTCTCCAGATAAAATAAAAGCCTGTGGAGTCATCCTGAGAGCAACACAGATCTAGCCTATGGGGCCAGATGAGTTGGGCACCACAGTTCAAAATGAAATACATTATGTCTGAGACTGTCAAAGAAGCCAGTGTTAAGTGAAGGATAAACACCAAGTGCCACTATATCTAATGGTTCCCCATGGTTTGTGCCCCCTGGTTTGCAGATCTGGGATGCCGTGGAGAAGAGCGATATCGGTTGCACACCTGGCAGTGGCAAGGACAACATGGGCGTGTTCACCGATGCTGGACTTGCCTTGGCCACCAATCATATTTCAACACCCTCGCGATCAGGTATTTGGAACACCTTGCTTTTCTCCACACTCGACAACTCTCTTCACAGCCTGGTTGTGATCATTTACCTTCAGTTCTAACTGCCTGTTCAAGTCAACCTTAGGATGACAGCAACAGACTTCCCCCTCCAATAGCTGCTTTGGGTGATGAGAAGTGCTTGATGGTTTAAGTCCAGTTCCTAGTGGAAAGGTGTCCAGAGGACACAGCCTGTTTTAAAGCAAGGACTGGTAATTAGGAATACTTCCAGCTAGAGAAGAACATTACTGGTTCCCAACCTCAGGGTATCACCCAAATCTAGGTCACAGGGGGTCCTCAGTAGGGTCATGAAGGACCCTGTTGGTGGCCAATTTAGAGTCACAGCAAAAAAAAGGTTGGGAACCACTGATCTAGAAGCTAGGGCAAGACTCTTAGGTACGCTCCCAGCCCTTGGAAAAAGTGAAGCCTGGAGCTTGGAGCAGACAGTGGGATTCAAGACTCTTCCATTCAATTGCTGACTGCCAAGAACTTGTATGAGTCTCCAGAAGTTGTTTTACCTCTGCCAGGCTCTGTTTTCCCATCTGTGAAATGGGGATAATGTTGCCTATTGGTGTTGAGTGCTTCAAGACCCTTGGTTGGAAGGAGCCAGAGAAGTGAAGTGTGTGATGATTCTCTCATGAAAATCAACATCATGATGATCATAAGCCATGCCAACGCCTTCAGCAGACAGGCCACAGACTTCTTGTCATGCCATATCATGGGTGGCCAGGTCTGCGGGTCACCCAAGGTCAGAAGAAGCAGCCAAGATCCAAGGAGAGTGTGCAGAGGCAGAGTGTAGGGGAGCCAGGAAGCGAGAAGATCCATCTGGGGAACCAAGTCAGAGACCCAGAGGGTCAAGAAGCAGTCCAGTTGGGTATCCAAGAGATCAAACCAGAGTTGGGTTAGGGAGCCAAAGGGTCAGACCAAACGCAGGGTCCATGAGCAAGCCAGAAGGTAGTCGTAGAATTCTCCAGAGAGCCAGTAGAGGCGCAAGCTGAGGGTGAGGCAGCCTAGGTACAAGGTTGAATCTTGTTGCCTGGACACTTCTTCTAGGTCAGGGGGTTTTATAGGAAGGGGTCAAGGGTCAGCTGATCCTGGCTGGCCTCTCTGGATATAGGGCATGGGCAGGCAGCAAGGCCAAGATAGCAGGTTCTAACCACCTATGTCTGCTCCAGTGCCCAGCTGAGGAGGTAGCAGACTAGGATGGCCAGGCACAGTGAGGCCTCAAGCTCAAGCCATAGCCTGGCCTGACAACTGTATATGCCACAGGAAACACCTCCTCTTTCTCCAGCGTTTCACTTCTTTTTTTTTTCCTCACCTCCTTCCTCAGATTCTAGATGTCCCCAGCCCGCAAGACGCAGGCGTCGCTCTGTTCAGCTTATTGAGGTCAAGGCCACCAGAGGTAGGTTAACAACTTGGGTTTGGATGAAAATTAGTGTATATGCTCCCTGGCATCATTGCCCAACTTCTGCATTCCAGCTGCCCAGTACCAGGACAAGGCTGAGAAGATATGCTGTGAGGATGGGATGCACGAGAATCCGATGGGACACAGCTGTGAAAAACGGGCGACCTACATCCTGGACACAGACAGGTGCAAAAAAGCCTTCCTTGACTGCTGCAACTTTATCAAGACCGTGCGGGATGAAAAGCAACGGGAGCTTCACCTAGAACTGGCCAGAAGCAAGTACTGGGGTTCTGATCTCACTATGAGGGGGAAAGATGAGGGAAAAGATTGGGTCCCCTGAGCTTGGACTCAGTGGGCTTGAGTATGATGACCTAGGGAACATGACATATAAGGTCAGGCTTGAAGATCTGGAATCATTTAGTCTGCAGAACATGAGACTGAGAAGATCACAGTGCTCCCAATCCCTGACCATGTTATGATGTATTTAAGAGTTATAAAGACCATGGCAGTCAACTACTATCTGTGGCCATGGGGGATAGGATAAGGAGCAATGGTCTCAAACTGCAGCAAGGGAAGTTGAGGTTGGAAACTGAATTAGGAAGAAGATTTGAAAGAACTTTCTTGGTTATTTAGCCTGGCGAATAGACGACTAAGGGGGGATTTGATAACAGTCTTCAAATCCCTGAAGAGCAATGACAGACAGGATTCATAGATGGAGATAGGCTTTTCCCTGTGGCTACAGGGGACAGGACTAGGAGCAATGGCCTAAAACTGTAACAGGGGAAACTGAGGTTGGAGATAAGGAGGAGCTTTCTGAGGGTGGTCAAGGCTGCCCATAAAAGTGGTAGAGTCCTCATCCTTGGAGATGTTCAAGAGGTTAAATAGACATTTATCTTTGATGATTTAGGTAGAGAGAAGCCCGCCTTGAGCAGGAGACTGGACTGTGGCCACCTATTTGTGTCATAGAATCATAGAGGAGTGGGGCTTGAAGGGACCTCCAGAGGTCATCTAGTCCAAACCATGGTGCCCTATCCAAACCATCCTATACAAACCCATTGCCCAATCTCTTAGCAACACTACATAGTCAACCCTGACATAACCCCAAGACATCATACCCAAACCTGCCAGAAGGGGGTAGGGGGAAACGGGACACACCACAGCAGCAAGTGTCCTGCTCCTTCAAAGATTATTAAGATACACTTGAGAGATCCCGGATAGAGTTCATGCCCCCACTCCAGAGGAAAGCAACCCTCCGTCCACTGAAGTCCATACCAATCTGATCATGGGGTAAAATTCCTTTCTGGCCTCAAATGCAATGTCTGTCAAGACCCTCTAGTCAGGACCTTCCAGGTTTCAGTCTCAGTAGAAGCACTGGCACAGCCCAGTTGCCAAAACCCAATGCCTCTGAGATAGGCTTAAGAAGAACTCTGATACATGTAGCAGAAGGAGAAGGAAAATTTCCCTCCCAGCCCCATGTGGCAACCCTGAAAGCCCAGAAGCTTGAGAGAGCCCCATAGTTATTACACTGTGGTTCTGCCAAGGTGAGGTAAGTCTCTCCTATGTCCCGGAACATGAACACTAGTCTTACACCCAGGATGACTCTGGGGGCTTTTATTTTATCCAGAGAAGTACAAGAGAAGCCAAAGCCAGTTCCTCTGAATAATGCACTGGTTTATTGGAATATTAGCAAGTAGGCAACATGACCCAGAGCAGCTACGTACAGCATAGAATACACAGACATACTCAGTGCCAGGTCGTGCGGTCTCAGGCCTCTCATGGTCTAGGTAAGTTCCAGATTCCCACCCCTCTGCCTTTGTGTCGAGTAGTTCTATACAGTTCAGATTCAAATGGCTGTATTCCCTCCCATTGCTCTGAGAGAATGATCTCTTAGCCAATGGACTAGGGATCAGGGAAACTGAGTCATTTCCTGGGGTTGTCTTATTAGCACTGGGTGCAATCACTGGTATGATCATCTCAGGTCCCTTGAAACTATCCTTCACCATCCCTCTTCATGGGCTAATCATTGTGATTCAGACTGAACTGCTTCTGAGATCAGAGGATCTGAAAGTAGGAATATAGCAACACACTCAGCACAGCAAAAAGGGGTGAGGGGTCTTCAGGACTCCCCAACACTAGGAAAAGGCACAGCCTGTGGACAACCAATGAAAAAAGAGTATTTCACTGAGATCTGGTGGGGAAACACATTTATGATCCTAGCACTTGTTCCTGCCCAGGGCAGGGGGTCGGACTTGATGATCTGTTCAGGTCCCTTCTGACCCTAGAAACTATGAAATTGAATATAGGGGAAAACAGGAGATCAGGGGCTTCCTTGTCTAGATACCTCCTTCTGTTCCATCTCCAAGACATGGTGCCATCAAGATGCAATGTCTCTTAATCTAACACCATGGTAATTAGGTTGGAGTTTGCCAGTGTTTGCAGATAAATAAAGGGTGTTGATTCTTTCATAGCTCCATTAACAACTTCTGATATAACACCTCAGGTGACCTGGATGATGATTTCTTATCAGAGGAGGATATCGTCTCAAGAAGCCACTTTCCAGAGAGCTGGTTATGGGAAGTAGAACATCTGAATGAGCCACCGAATAAAGAGGGGTGAGTGCATAACTACGTTTTTCTATAGGACTAGATCCAAGGGTAAAATAAGCAAAGAGAGCTCCATGGATTGGTCCCAAAGCCAAAAGTCTTGACCTCACCAGGGTTGCAGTCAGTGCCTACAAAAGATGTAGGTGGGGAATGTCCATGAAATTAAATTCCTTCTTTCTTTTCTTCCATAAATAAATTCTCTCTCTCTTTCTTTCCATGTAGAATTTCTTCCAAGACAGTGCCTCTTTACCTGAAGGACTCAGTCACTACATGGGAAGTGCTGGCTGTGAGCCTGTCAGAAACCAAAGGTGAGGGATAGTACAGCAAGATCTCTGAAGGAAATTAGAAACACTGTGGTGGGAGGGAGAAAGTCCAGGTGTCCAGTTATAAAGAGGATGGCACCCAACTATTATGTGTGGCTGTAGGGAACAGGATGAGCAGCAATGGTCTCAAGGCTCAGCAAGGGAAATTGAGGTTGGAAATGGAATAGGAAGAAAATTAGGAAAAACTTTCTGGGTTATTTAGTGAAAAGAAGAGAAGAGAGGGGGAGATCAAATCACACTCTGCAAATCCCTGAAGACTGATTACAGAGAGGATAGAGATGAGCTTTCCAGGTTACTATGAGCTTTGGCAACATCCCAGGATGAAAGAATAATCCAAAAAAGAGAAAATGTGTCAGCGCTCAGACAACTGATTGACTGAGATCTTTCTTGCTGACCATTCAGGGATCTGTGTGGCCAATCCCTATGAGATCACGGTGATGAAAGATTTCTTCATTGACCTCCAGTTGCCATATTCTGTGGTACGGAATGAACAGGTGGAGGTCCGGGCCATTCTCTACAACTACCTGCCAGACAAAATCAAGGTGAGCTTGCAATTAGTCTTAGATGCATTGGGGAAAAGCCAATAGACCCTGGGATATTCGTACTATATTTTCTAACATACAACACACACCTTTCCTCCAACAACCAGCTGCTGGAAATTGGAGTATGCATTATTTGCAAAAAAATATGTTAAGAGCAGGGCCTGCTGCTTACTATTTGAAACTAATAGTCAAACCTGCAGTGATTCACAGGAAACAGAATGATTAGCAGGCTGGGCTCCCTTGCTGCTGCTACTCAGTTTCTCCCTGCAGGGAAAGATCTTCTTTACTTCATGCTTGCCTTTCAAAACAAGGTGCATATTATATTCTAGTGTGTCCTATAGGCAAGAAGATATGGTATATAGAACTCAATGTGGCAAGGAAATAAAGATTTAAAGTGTTCAGGTCATCAGTGGGTCCAATAGAGCCCATCACTGTGGGCATTAACTGAGGATTGATTCCATTTTAGGATTCTGGATAGCCTGTCTAAAACAAGTTAGTGGGTTCCCTTTCAAAAGGGACGTGTGTGTGTCCTGTACCAGGGTAACTGTAACATTTGGGTGTCCTGGAGCCGGTCTAAACATAGGCCCAACCATTTGTCTTAGGGCCAGCTGCCTGCCTCCTCTCCTACCATGCCTTGATGTTATTAATTATCCGATGTTAATCAGGCAGAAGGCTGCCCGTTTATCTGCCCTGATGTCAAGGACCTATGTATATGACTCTGACCTTCCCTTATCATATCCCGTGCCTCACAGATGTTTCCTCCAGGTAGCTAGCACTGGGACCTGAGTTCCGGAGTCTCACGTGGGACTCTCACTCCCCACTGGAGCTCGCAGTTCCAGTGCCCTTACCCTGGGTTCTCTCTTTACACAAACACACACTGGGCCCCAGGCCCCACACACTGGGCTCCAAGCCTGCACACACTCTCAGAGCTCCAACCCCACACCTCATGGCTCCAAGCCTGCCTCTAGGATCAGGGCTCTGAGCCCTCCCTGGGCAATCCCCTTATCCCTAGCCCCATAAACTTCCTTAATAGCTCCCCAAAACTCAGGGCCCCACTCCCCTGGAGCTTCACACTGGCTCGTATATGCACCCTCAGACCTCCACCGCAGAGTCTGGGCACTGCCACAGGTCCCTCCACTGGCCTGGGCCCTGCCTCAGTACTCTTGGTAAATCTGGGCTCCCCCTCCTCGATCTTACCCACCAGGGATGTGGGGCTGGGGTTAGGAGGGGTTGCCTTTCACCAGGGTGGTAACTAGGCTGGCATTTTTGGGGGACTGCCCAGCCACAGACAGTTCCACCAGGCCACCCATCCACAGCAGGGTGCAGTTTTCTATCATGCCCAGGACCATGGGGTCTCCTCCTTCCCCATAGCCCCAACCCTGACCTCCAAGGGATGTTCCATAAGCAGCAGCTCAGCCAAGTGTTGTTCCTTTGGCTGCAGCAGCAACCTGCTGCCTCTTTGCAGTTCAGGGCTCAGCTCTTATAGAGCACAGCTGGCGCTGCTCCCAATCAGGCAACTTTGCCTAATTGGCATTGCTGGCAGCTGCAGGATGCCTAGCTGCCACTCAGGCCCCTGCTAGAAACCAAGTAAGTACCCTGGGCTCTGTTACAGTAACCTTTAGTGGTAGGTCTCCACAGTATGTTTCATAGCCCTGGATGTTGAGTGGTGGGCTGTTACCCAGAATCCTTCACAGGAAGCTGAGTGCATCTACATTTAGAGTGGGAATAAGTAGTAATGAGAAGAGCAGCAAGTGTTCATCTGCCTTCTCCTCACCTCCCAAAGACAACCACTAGCATCCCAAGTACACCTATAAGGTGCCATAGTTTTTCCATCACAAAATAGCCAGCACTCCAAAGACTGAGTAGGCAAAAAAAATGAATTCCCCTTATGATATTCATGTGTAGACCACTGAGGTCCTAGACAAGGCAGCACAGAAGCATAGGAAAGCATAGGAAAGTCAGGCTGGAAGGTATCTCCAGAGGTCACATCTAGTCCAGCCCCCAGCTCAAAGCAGGATCAGCCCTGACTAAACCATCCCAGCCAAGTGTCTGACCAAACTGATCTTGGACATTTCCAGGGATGAAGACTCCACCACTTCTCTGGGCAGCCTATTCCAATGCTCAACCACCCTCAGAGTTAGAATGTTCCTCCTCATCTCCAACCTCAGTTTCCCCTGCTGCAGCTTGAGGCCATTGCTCCTGGTCCTATCCCCAGCAACCACAGATAAAAGCCCATCTCCATCCTCTCTGTCATCACCCTTCAGGAATTTGAAGACTGCGATCAAATTTCCCTTCAGTCTTCTCTTCCCCAGACTAAACAACCCTAGTTCTTTCACCCTTTCCTCATACGTTCTGCCTCCAAGGGGCAACTTGAATAATGTAAGACTTTAGATTCATGAGGTTTTACCCATCAACTTGTGCTTTTCAGTCATGTTATAGGAGTTTTGAGGGATGCTGCCAAATGCCAAGGTCTTCAGCCGCTAGCAAGATCAGGCTCTTAGAACCTAGCCCTTGTGGTTATAACATGGCAAACAACTTCCCTCTGCCTACCATACTTTTCTGCATTTTTCCTCAGGTCCGATTGGAACTGATGCACAACCCAGCTTTCTGCAGCATGTCCAACTCCAAAAGGAAATACAGGCAGTTCTTCGACGTCCAGGGCAAATCTTCCCGGGCAGTGCCTCTGGTGATTGTCCCACTGCAACTGGGACTACATGATATCGAAGTGAAAGCAGCAGTGTGGGAAAAATATATGGCTGATGGGGTGAAGAAGAAACTGAAGGTTGTGGTACGTGTTTGCTCATGGTCCCATCACACCATTTAGAATGGGGGTGATCAGTTGGTGGAAGGTATGCCCAAAGTGGCATGAGCTGCCTCTGTCTAGCACTTGGCAGATCAGGGAGGAAGCAGAGAGCAGAATAGAAGAGGGGGCAGGGAGCAGAAAGCAGAGCAGCAGACAGAACAGGAGGTACAGGGTAGGGAACAGAAAGCAGAGCAGCAGATTGGACAGAAGATACTGAGTAGGGAGCCCAGGGCAGGGAGCAGAAAGCCAAGCAGCTGATTCAGTAAACAGAAAGCAGAGTAGCCAACAGGACAGGGGAAAGAAAGCAGAACAGCAGGAAGATCAGGGAGCAGAAAGCAGAGCAGCTGAAGGGGCAGAGAGCACAAGAAAAGGAGCAAAAACCGAGCAGCAGATCAGGCAGGGGGAGGGAACTGGAGCAGTGCTTAGGGAAGGTATAGGGCTTAAATTGTGACAAAACAGTTGGTTCACTCTGATCTGTATGGTTGGTCCCATGATCTATACTTTAGCCTTCTAAGTTAACTCTTCCAATTTAACCTTATTCCTTCTCTCCCCTGCAACAAAGAACCCTGGTCTTTTCTCCCCATGATGGTCATTATTATCTTGTAGCCAAGTCAGCTCTGTCTTTCTGATCAGCTAACTCCTTGAGCCTTCTCCAAATTGCAGACCCTTTTTTACTGTACAAACAACAGAGCCAGACATGGCATTGGCCTCACCAATACCATCTGAAAAAATGAAACCACCCTCCTAGTCCTGCTCACATCTTCCCTGTTTATAATGCAAGAGTTCTTTTCACAGTCACTGCTTCCTAAGACACAGCCCCCAATTTTCACAGCTTACCTCTTCCCAGTGCTGTTTTCAAGAATACTGTAATTGTTTGCATACTACACACAATTTTCCCCCAGAAATCAGCAACCAAGAATAGGGACACATGTGTCTGCAATGGAGAAAGTAATTCTGAATGGTCTGATTAAAGGCGGGTGGGGAGGAATTATCTTCTTTCTGTGTTCTCATAATGAAATGTGTGTCTTATTGGTGGGCTGTGTGGTATGCTAATAAATAAAATGCTTAGTTTGGAGCCTACAGTGCAACCAGGTCCTTGTTCTTCTTTCCTAGCCTGAAGGGATGAAGATAACAAAAACTATCATATCTGTTGTGTTGGATCCAGTTAAGGCTGGTGAGTGGCCATGATATAGTGCCTTTCTTTCAATATAATCTCTGCAAATGCTACATTTTCTAGGTCGGGGTGTCAAAGATATAGCCCAAAGGCTGGATATCACCATAGAGTTGTTTCATCCAGCCTGCAGGGCCAAATCTAACCATGGGGCACTGGTTGAATTTGGCACTCATGCTCTCAGTGAAGGCATCTCCATTTTGGAGCCATCCTGGGTGGCGTTCTCTTCTTTTCTGGTCATCTGTTTGGCCATTTTTGGTTATCTACAAAGTGGTTTTGACACTCACATGCGTAGAAGGTGATGTCTTTGGTCTGTTTCCCTCCTCCAGCACAGGCCAGCATTTGGGTTCTATGTCAAGCCAAGAAATAGCAGCAGTACTTGGCCAATGGTCATATTTTCTAGGGCTGTGCAAAGCTTTGGTCCCTGTTTCAATTCGGTGAAGATCTGGCCTGATTCAGTGGCCAAATTTCCAAATCTGAATTGAATCAGAGGACCCTTTAACTTCTCCGAATCAAATCAGAACCCTTCGAATCGATTTGAAGAGATTCGGCAGTTCAGACATAGACACAGTTTTAAATGTTTTTTCTACATACCTCTAGGTAGCAGGGGCTCATGAATGCTGCAATGGTGGGGCACATGGAGTGTCCCACAGAAGCACAGGGGGCTCACTGGCATGCTTGGCAGCAGACCTAGAGGTAGACCAGAAGCACTTCCAGTCCACTTCCAGGCCCACTGGAAAGTGCACAGGGGAGCCACCCACACTCCCCCGGCTCAGCGACTGGTGCCTCCTGGGCCTGGGGAGCCCCCCCAGGACGCCCCCGGGGGGGCCCAGAAGCAGACTGGAAGTACTTTTGGTCCACTTCCGGGTCCACTGCCGAGCATGTGGAGGGCCCCCCACGCTCCTGTGGGCCGCCCCATGCACCCCAGCATCTCAGTGATTACAAACCACACTAGTACCTCGAGGCACGTAGAAAAAACATTTAAAGTTCTGTCTATGTCCGAATCACTGATTCTCTGAATCAGCATCAAATCTTCAGATTCAGATTCAGCTTAATGGAATCAGGGACAGTGATCCAAATCAACGAATCAAATCACTGTCCCTGATTTGGGCCGAATCCAAATCTGAATTGAAAAGAGCCTGCTTCGCATACCCCTAACATTTTCACGTGGGGTTCTTTTTCCCCCATGCTTCCAGGTGGAGTTCAGGAACAGAGGATAGAAGCTCTAGATCTAGATGACATCGTTCCAAACACAGAGTCAGAAACTAAAGTCAGCGTCCAAGGTAGGAGACTTGGAAATTAAAGTTCTATTCAAGACCGATGGTGCGGGAAGCACAAAGCCTGTAAAATTGTTACAACAAAGAGGAAGCATGTGACATAACATGCCAGGACTGTCTAGTATCTAAGAACAGCCCAATGAAGTCAATGCAAAGATAACCATTGGCATGAGTTGGCATTTGGGATTGGGTTGAGAATATGGGATGAGGAGATGGCATAGCTCACAAAACATTGTGAGTAAGCAACTGTGCATCATGGCTCTTTGGCTGGTAATACCGTATTTTCTCATGTACTATACACCCTTGAATAAGACACACCTCAGTTTTGAAAGGCAGAATGAAGAGAAAAGACCTTCCTTTTTAGTAAGTAACTGGATAGTGGCAGTGAGGGACTGCTTGTGATTCTGCTCCCTGCATGCAATCTTTACTTTCACTTTTGCCTAGTAAGCACCAGAAACATCCCTTGCCATATTTCCTCACATATAATGGACACACCAATATCCAGCAGTTGGCTTGAGGGGGCAGGGGGAGGAGTTGTGTGTTGTATTTGAAAAAATATGGTAAGTGAGCCGGGACTCTCTTTGCTGAAGTGACAAGGAGGCTTGTGCTTTGGGAGAAAGAGCATTTCTTAGAGCAGTGGTCACCAACCAGTTGATCATGATCAACTGGTCAATTGTGGAGCCTTGGAAAGTCGATTTGAGGCCGGGGGGGTTGGGATAGGGGTGGTGGGGGGGGGGGGGGGGGGGGGAGCTGAGCATGTGCACGCATGCACACACATCCCCCAAGGTTAGCAGGTCAGTCTGTGGGGGAGGGAAGGGGTGAGGGCCAAATAGAGGCCCCCACAGTAAGGGAGGGAGTGGGGCACAGGAAGAAGCAGGGGCTGACGTGAATGGGGCCCTGGCCGGGCCTGGTGCTGAGAGGATCGGAGTCCAGGCAGCTTAGGGGCATGGGGGGCACCCACCAATGTGCTCACCCCAGTGGAGGCCTAGGGGGGGGGGGGGCCCCCCCCCCCCCCATCTGTGCATGGTGCAGAGGTGGCTGCTGCCACTGCAGGCTGCCCTTTGCACCCTGCGCCCCGCTGCAGCTGCCCCAGGAACGGCATGATGCCATGTGCGTCCCACCATCTGTTAGGCAGGGGGCGAGGCTCAGCTGAGCAGTGGGACGCAGTGGCGTCAGGCTGCTCCCAGGGCAGCTGCAGCGGGGCTCAGGGCACAAAGCCCAGTGCACAGTGGCAGCCACCTTCACCTTGTGCACAGATTGGGGGGCACGTGCCCCCCAAACGCAGGGCAATGCGGGCAGCTGCAGCAGCAGTGAGGAGGGAGTGGGGCTCGGGCAGGTGCTGCACAAGGTGGGGCACGGGATGGAGCTGCGAGCAGTTTATCCAGGAGGCACAGGGAGAGTGGGGGCACACACCTAGGAAGGGCATGGGGCACGTGCCCCTGGATCTGTGTGGGGTGGGGCAGGCTGCCGCTGCGGGCTGAGGATGGAGCAGCACCGGGCTTTTCCCAGGGGTGGGGCTGAGCCAGGCTGCGCTCAGGGTGGGCGGAGGCGATGCTAGGAGGAGGCTTACGGGGGGTGGGTGGCTGCAACCACATGAAAATTCACCTTGGCCCCCCTCAGCCCACCCTCCCAGCACCACTGCCACCCGCCCTGAGCACAGTGCAGCCCAGCCCTGCCCGGAAGAGCCTGGCATAGCCCTGGCCCCAGCCTGCAGTGGCAGCCCACCCCACCCTGTGCACAGATCTGACAGCATATGCCCCAGGCACCCCCCAGACAAGCCATTCACAACTCCATCCCATGCCCTGCCCCAGCTGTTCAGGGCCTGCCCTTGCCCCAGTCCCCACTCCCTCCCTCACTGCCATGGGGGGGCAGATTGAGGCCCCAGTGGTGTGGGAGGGAGTGGAGCACAGGCAGGAGCAGGGGCTGGGGTGAGTGGGGCCCCAGCAGGGCCAGATGGTGGGACAAGCATTGGCCTGTGGAGCATGTGCCCCACCCCCACCCCAGTCTGTGTGTGGGGCAGAGGCAGCTGCTGCTGTGCTTTGCTCCCAGCTGCAGCTGCCCCAGGAGTGGTTGACGTGCGTCCTGGCAGTGGGACACACATGGTGTCGCGCAGCTCTCAGGGCAGCAGGGCTGAAAGCACAGTGCACAGCAGTAGCCGCCTCCATCCCACACACAGATCAGGGGGAAACATGCCCCCCAGGCCTCCGCTTGTTCCACCGCCTGTCCCGGCTGGGGCCCCACTCACTGCAGCCCCTGCTCCTGCCTGTGCCTCACTTCCTCCTTCACCACTGGGGCCTTAATCTGCCCTTTCCCCCACAAACTTACCTTTTTGAATTAAAGTCCAACCCAGGATCTACGGCTCTCAGACCCCCCAAAATTTTTTCTCCCTCTCAGTCTGCCCCTCTCTTCCCTCCCCACAGACTGACCTGCTGGGGGTGGGGGGTGAGGGGCAGCACGCAGTAGATCCTAACTTTAATTCAGAAAGTGATCTTGTACTTAAAAAGGTTGGAGACCACTGTCTTAGAGGGTTGTTTCCTAGCACAGGGGCATAAATCAACTTATCCAGTCTTAGGACCTGCTCCAGTTCTGGGTTACCAAAGGGCAGTGGTGACATCCTCACCTGCCCCTGTCCTTCTTCCAGGCACAACTTCATGCTATGTCCTTCTCCCCACTAGGAAATCCCGTGGCCCTGATTGTCGAAAGCTCCATTGACGGGGCCAACCTGAAGAACCTCATTGTGACGCCAGGCGGATGTGGTGAACAGAACATGTTCAGGATGACCCCAACTGTCATCGCCACCCACTACCTGGACAGCACCGGGCAGTGGGAGAGAGTTGGGCTAGACCGCAGGGCAGAAGCCATCAACCTGATCATGAACGGTGGGATCCTATCCCATAAGAAGTATCCTAGAAGAGGAAAACTTCTCTTGCTTTTCTGTGCTGCCTATTGAGTTGCCTTCTCCTGTCCAGATTTTAAAAAACATAGATTTAAGCGCTTCAGAAAGGACTTAACTGAACCCCACACTAGGGATGAGAGGCCTCAAAAACACAACCTATGGGGAAAGGCTAAAGAATGAGGGTTATTTAATGAGGGAAGACTGAGGCAGGATTTAATGACAGAAAAGATTGAGATGGGCTTTCCTCTGTGGCCACAGAGGGCAGGCCTAGAAGCAATGGCCTCAGGCTGAAGCAGGGGAAGCTGAGACTGGAGATGAGGAGGAACATTTGGATTCTGAGGGTGATCAAGCATTGGAACAGGCTGCCTGGAGAGGTGGTGGAGTCTCCATCTCTGGAAATTCACACTAATGGATATTTTTGCAATCGAAGTCCAGACACTCCTAGAAGTGACTTAGGTTGCCTACCAATATGCCATATTTTTTCACATATAATACACCCCAGAGTCAGATATGCATCTTGTTTTTTCAAGGCAGATGAAGAAAAAAAGATCTTTTCTTGCAATAAGTAATAGAGTACCAGCAGCCAGGGAATACAGCCTGCTCCTTTTTTGCTTCCTCTGGATCACCCACAGAGTCACTTTTGCTCTAGCCTGGCAGAAACTGCTGTTACTTTATTTCCTTACCTATAATGCTCACCCCAATTTCCAGTAGCTAGTTACTGGGAAGTGTATTGTATGTGATAAAATATCGTAGTCTATCTCCATCCTCCATAGAATCACTCCTTCAGGGATTTTAAAACACTGATCCAATTTTCTATCTATCTTCTCTTCTACAGATAAAGCTTCTAAGTCCTTGTTGGCTTCTTAGTCTATTTTTTGTTCGGTCCTCAGTCTTTGGCCTATGTGCTGTTCTCAGCAATATTTACTAAGAACATCATGTGCATGTGATGTACACCTTAGACAGCTATTAGCAGGGTGAATGCAACTTTGCTTATAGCTTCTGAAGCATTAATTTTGGCCACTTCTAGGAAAAGATTCCCAGTCATTTTCATTTTGCTACCAGCCTGCTGGAACAGATGGAACGTGGAAAGTCAGGGTAGAAATCCAAGGCAAAGGGGAAGAAAGATGAGCTGGAGAAGGGGGTGATGGACAGCAGGGATTGACAACATGTTTCACAGCTCTTTCTCCCTTCCAGGTTACACACAGCAACTGACTTATAAGAAAGGAGACTACTCATATGCTGCCTTTTCTCATCGACCTTCGAGCACCTGGTAAAGTCACCCATTCTATGTCACTCTTCTGATCAGCAGAAAACTACTCCATTGCTTTAAACGTCACAAACCAAAGCCAGCTAGTCTCCTGTGTATATTGAACAGGATCATATGACAGCCCATTGTGATCATGGTCAGTTTCACCTCACGGCTTGGTTGACACTTGGAGGAAATATCCCAGGGAGAAGTCCAATGATGGTAGAAAAGGCTATGCTTCCAAAGCAGGGATTCTCAACCAAGGGTACTGTGGTGATCCTTGAGATCCTTTTAAGGGTACCACAGGCTCCCACACAGCATGAGCCCTCTTAGGGGAGCAAACCTCAACCCATGATTTACAAGTTAGACACAGGGATTTCCAGTGTCTAAAACAAATCCTGGAACCATACTAATTGTCACAACTTACAGGAGTGGACACTGGCATAGAAACTAAGCTGATGAGGAGATGACTACCTGGTTAAAGCTAAGAGAACAGCTACAAATGTTGTCAAAGCATAAAACACGGTCAAGGACAGTGGTAGGAGAATGTTGAGGAAGAGAGGATGCATGATAGGACAGGTCTGCAGATATAGGTGTGTTTATGCATGGAAGATTTTTTAAAAATATCCAGTAGTGAGAAATCTGTTGTGTAAATAGCCTATAACTAGCCAGTAGCCATGGGTGGATCTAGGATTTTGAAAAAAGTACACTATCCTTATGGCATCATCATTCCATATAACACAACACATACTTTTCTCCAGGTAAAAAGAAACTAGAAACTTTACTAATATGCTAGGAGTCAAGGGCTGGATTATTCAGTTTAACATCAAAGCAAAAATAAATATAACTTCATTGAAATAACTTCATTGGAATGAGTTGAAACCAGTCTGCAGGGCTGTGAAATAGGAGATACATCACCTAGGGCAGTGAATAGACAGTAGCATTACAGAAGAAAGGCTAGCTTGATTAGTGGAACATCAAGAGTATTAAGACCAACATGGACTGCTAACACCTGTGGAATGAAGTGTTTAGAAGGAATCTGGAAGACTGTAGTGAGCCATGAAGTCAATCAACTCCCTCATTGCTGCATGAATAGAAATGCTGCTGTTACTGCCAGGCACTTGGTTTTAAACTTTGGGTTGAGCAGAAATCAGAGCGGGGACAAGTGCACCACTACACTGTCCCTGGGTGGCTGGAATTCACTCGGTAGATGGAACAGTCTCAACTCACTCTTGAGCACTGTTACTGACCTGAAGCTTTACCTTATGTGTTCCATTTGGATACTAGTACAGATTTGGATACTCTTTGGCTTCAGCATCCAGGTCAAGGTGAATTTCAAGGTGAGCCTGACTATCTGAGGAGATTAACCATGCATGTTCACCCCTCAGGCTGACAGCGTATGTAGCCAAAGTCTTTGCCATCGCTAGCAGGGTTGCACCAATAGAAGACAATGTCATCTGCGGGGCTCTGAAATGGCTGGTCCTAGAAAAGCAGAAACCAGATGGGATTTTCGAAGAGACTGCCCCTGTGATGTCTCAGGTCATGACAGTAAGTTGAACCTGAGTTTGTAGAATACCCCAAATCAGAAGTTCCCAATACACAGACAGTCTGTCAGTGGTACGCTGCAGCAGCAGGCAGCAGTGCTCAGAGCACTCATGCCTGATGCAGGCACTCAGCGGGGCATGGCTCTGGTCAGTGCTGCACATTGCAGCAAGGGGAGCAGCCTCTGCCAGGCTGTCTGAATCGCCAGCACTTCTCGTGCACACATGCAGCTCTTGCATTTGCCAGGCACAAGAAGGAAACCCCACACCCTGGAGCTGGCTGCCTTTGCCACCAAGGCTGAGCAGTGCAGAAAGGAAGCCCCAGGTGCCTTCCTCTGGGGAGCGGGGAAGGCAGCCAGCTCCAGCATGCAGGGCTTCCCTCCCATGCCGTGCAAGTGCAGGGAGTGCCACTGATACAGACTGCCCGGCAGAGGACGTGCCCCTCACTGCAATGTGCAGCACTGGCCAGATCCATGCCCCACCAGGTGCCCTGAGCACCCCCACTTGCTGCTGCACCATGGGGAGAGTGCAGGGGTCCCCACACCCTCCACCCTCTCTCACACCCCACAAACACCACACACCCACACCCTGCCCCCACAGTCCCGCACATATACACAACCTCCCAACATACCCTATGTTCTCCCACATGCATGGCCACAACCCATCACAAACCCCCCACACACCCTGCCATACACATGCACACATACACACCACCCCCACATGCCACATGGTGGTACTGAAGGTTGTATCAGTTTAAATTGGTGCACAATCTACCAGAGTTTGGGAACCGCTGCCCTAAGCCATCTTCTTTCGACTCAGACTCAGCAGCGTGATGGATCTGATTGTTTTTCCTGTTAGCCCAAATACTGGAGTATTTCTGTTATTCTCATTGAGTCATGAGGCCTATTTTCATAGATTTCATAGACATTTGGGCTGGTAGGGACCCTGGAGGATCATCAAGTCCAGCCCCCTGCCCCAGGGGCAGGAAGTCAACAAGGATCATAGGATACCAGCAAGATAAGCAGCCAAATGTGTCTTGAAGGTGTTCAAAGTAGGTGCTTGAACCGCCTCCTGCGACAGTCTATTCCAGACCTTGGGGGCTCGGACAGTGAAGAAGTTCTTTCTTATGTCCAGCCTGAATCGATCGCAGCAGAGTTTGTGACTGTTTGATCTTGTCATCCCTTGGGGCGTTCTGGTGAACAGACTTTCCCCCAGATCCTGATGAGCACCCCTGATAAATTTATAGGTGGTCACCAGATCACCCCTGAGCCTGAGCTTTTGCAGGTTGAAGAGTCCCATGGCTCTCAGTCTTTCATCATAAGGCCTGTTTTCCTGACCTCTGATCATGTGCATGGCTCTCCTCTGCACCTTCTCAAGCTTCTCCACATCCTTTTTGAATTGTGGAGCCCAAAACTGGATGCAGTACTCCAGCTGCAGCCTCACCAAGGCCGAGTACAACGGGAGAATGATGTCCCGGGATTTGCTTGAGAAGCGTCTATGGATGCAAGCCAGCATTTTGCTTGCTTTCCTAGGCACAGCATCACACTGTAGGCTCCTGTTCATCTTGTCCTTGCATTTTTCGGTGTTGAACACCATCAGGTTCTCATCCACCCATTTCATGAGCCTGTCAAGATCTGCCTGGATCACCCTCCTGTCCTCAGGTGTGGATGCTTTACCCCAGAGTTTGGTGTTGTCGGCGAACTTGGCCATTCCGCTTCTGACACCAATGTCCACATCACTGATGAAGATGTTAAATAGTAAAGGCCCTAGGACAGAGTCTTGAGGGACCCCACTGGTCACCGCACACCAAGATGATTTACTTCCATCAGCCACCACCCTCTGGGTCTTACCGCGCAACCAATTCCCAGCCAGCGGATCATGGTGAATTCAAGGCTGTAGTTAGCCAGTTTAGCCAAGAGGTGATCGTGGGATACCAGATCGAAGGCTTTTTTAGAGTCAAGATACACAACGTCGATCTCCTCCCCCTTGTCCAGGTGATAAGTCACCTGGTCACAAAAGGAAATGAGATTGGTCAAGTGAGACCTACCCACAACAAACCCATTCTGGGTATCCCTCAGGATATTGCCTTCAGCTAGTCTGTTAAGCTGAAAGACCTCACGTAGGGCTGGCAGCCATGGACAAAGTTGTCTATGCCCTGAATGAGAAATGCAAGTTCACACAGTCTAAGATGGGTCACAAATAACTAGGGTTATTTAGTGGCGGGGGGGGGAGAAGACTGAGCAGGGCTTTGATCAGTCTTCAAATCCCTGAAGGTCAATGACAGAAAGGATGGAGATGAGCTTTTCTCTGTGGCCACAGGGGACAGGACTAGGAGCAATAGCCTCAACCTGACAAACAAGGTATTCATTCACGTATGCCCAGGACACAGTATTGGCACAACACCATGTAGACTCCCCTAGACGAACACAAAGTTCCCATGCTTCTAATTCTCCTTTTATATAGTTGTCAAAACAAATGACATATTATGTATCTTGACGATCTTGACTGTCTTGTACTGTGAACTTGTTCCATATTCTAATCTGGGTGTTCCTAGTCCAGCCTTATTATCCTGGTACTGATTTATTCTACATTGTCCAGCCATCTTCCCCGCCCATCTCCTGCTTGGAGTACATATCTGGCCTATGTTCCAAGTTTTGCTTATGTCAGGAGTTCAGGCATCAGTCAGGTTCACTGATCAGGCCTACTTTAGCCAGTGCCTGTGTGCAAGCAGTATATATATTGATCAATGTTCAGGCAAAGCCTATAGTATATAAGTGGTATGAACTAGGCCTGTGCAAAGTGGCTAGTATTCGCTTCGCATTCAGATTCGGCCAATTCGGAGGGCAGTGATTCGATCCGGTGATTCGAATTACTGTCCCTAATCGATTCAGCTGAATCACTCGGGCCCATCCTCTGCCCGTTCTCCCAGCCCCCACAATGGCTGCCCCCCCCCCC